AATTAGATGATAAATTAGGGAAGTGATGCAAGTTATTCTTCATTTATTCCTTGAGAGTTCCAATGTCTTTGCAAAATGGTAATGGCGGCTGGGCGGCTGAAACAAATTCACTGGAAACTTAAACACCGCCCCTATTCTTTTAATGAAAAGAAATGTGAAAGTGCTTAGAAATGAAGAATAAGAATAGAAAACATATGAATGTGCTGTTCATTTTTCTTCTCAAAGTCCGCCCTTTGATTTTGTTGAGATGATTTCAGTGTCTAATCTGTTGGTTTTATCGATTTATAGATCCCTTCATTGCATAACCTGGTAGACCACGTACGAGAGATTGGGTCTTGTACAACTTATGCATGTGTTGTGTGATAAGCTTAATCGTTGTTATCTTATATTCCATGGGATCTATATTTAAAACTTTGGGTTAACATTTTCTTGTGATATGTAGTGCGATGTATCGTTATCATCGTTGTTTTATTATCTTTTTCATTCTAGAAATTTGGGTTTAACACCAAACAAAAAAGAAAAGAAAAAAATGAAACATCTATTCTACGTATCTAATTTTATTGACCACATCACGATGGACATAAAAAAGGAGTCACCACCATTAATATTTTGATTTGATGATATAACATATGATATTTCTTTAATAATTTAAGAACATGTAATATTTCATAAAAATATCATATGTGCGCATGCTGTCAAACACAAACTAAATAGAAATTAATATTAAATAGACGTGTTTGAAGGGTTAAGCAAAGCAGAAAAGAAGCGTTGACGAGAAGCGATTAAGGCTTTTGTTTTTCCTCCCTTTGATTTTCATCTTTGTTTGCATGCTGTCAAACACAAACCCGAGAATTCTAAAAGTTCTTCTCTTGAAAATCAAATCCGAGCCGTTAAGCAGATCCCATCGCAGCTTTTTTAACCTATAAAACATCTCCCAGCGTCTTTGTCCCGCTCAAGCTCTCTCCAACCCCAGACAACTTCCAAACAAAAACAAAAATCAGATACACTTGGAAATCAATATGTGTAGCTTTGAATAAATATATATATTTTTTTCTCCTATCTCTGTGCTTTCATTTTAGCTTATCCAAGGAGCCATGCAGCTGCGTGGTGCTTCATCTGCCAAGAGCTTGTATCGTAAAATCCTTAAACCCAATACCCGAATCCATGCAGCTACTAAATCCCCATGCGATATCTTTATTAACCATCGAGGAATTGATACGAAGAAAAACATTGCAGGCTTGCTCGATGATCATTTTACAGGATGGGATTAAGGCCCTTCCTGGATAGCAGAAACATGCAGCCCGGTGACAGATTATACGAGAAAATCAATCCGGCGATTCGCAATTGTAAAATCGGCGTCGCAGTCTTTTCTCCCAATTATTGCGATTCACACTTTTGCCTCCACGAGCTTGCTCTTCTTATGGAGAGTAAGAAAAGGGTTATACCCATATTTTGCGATGTGAAACCATCTCAGCTTCGGGTTATGGATTACGGGACGAGTTCGGCCAAGGAGCTGCAAAGGTTTAGCTGGGCTCTTGAGGAGGCAAAACACACTGTTGGACTCACATTTGACACTTTAACAGGGTACGAATTACCATTTTTTTTCTTTTGCTATAATTGATATAATAATCGTGAAGATTCAAATATATATATTTTTTAATATGCAGGGACTGGTCGCAGTTCTTGAATACTGCAACCGATGCCGTCATTAAGAATTTGGCGGAGTTGGAAGCTGGAAATTCAAGCAAGAATTGTGCAGCGTCGTCGTGAATGAAAATGAAGATTCTTTATTTGTTAAAGCTTATAGGGTTTTGCCTTTAACCCTAAGGTTTTCTTTAATAATATATTCCTCAATTCAACCATTTTTTTAGTATATATAGGAAGAAGTGAAACCAAAAATTTCTTCCGAAACACTCGGTGGGAATACCTCCATATAAAGTTGTGGGATTTTATGTATTTTCCTTTTCTATCTCCCTACATTGTCAATAAGTGTAGATATAGATGTAAAATTCAAGAAATGTCGTAATATATCGCACAGACGGGACTAATATTCTTTTGTAACAAGGCGAAGATTCAAAAATTTGCTTTCTTTTGTATATATAATATAGGTTCACCATTAGAGTTAGACCTTGTATGGAAAGAAGAGAAGATGCACAATCTTCGTTTATATAAAAAAAATTGATCTGGTATAGAATTTTCTAGACTCGGTTTAGATGTTATGATAAAAATTCAGAGACCACATTAATTTGATTTAACAAAATCATGAACTTTCAAATTATAGCATGCATTGTCAGAATACCGATGTAAACCCATAAATAAACATAAGAGTTCATAAAATATAACATACTTCTTTGAATATTGGTACTATTTTTGCTTACTGAAATCTGAACACACTTGAAAACAATAAGCATTATCTGTACTGCCATGAGAGTATCGATATTTCTCTTACCTTTGGTATTGATACTGCAAGAACAGTATCGGTACTATTCAGGCGGTATCGATCCTGTAAGAACAATATCGTGTACAATTCAGGAGGTATCGATCCTGTAAGAACAATATCGGTACTGTTTACCCAAAAAAGATGTTTTGTGTTCAAATTCAAGTTTCATGGACTTTGAATTATTTTTTAAAACTTTAAATAAATTCAACAAAATCAAAAAAAAATTACCCTTAAATTTGTTATATCAAAATAGGTTCAACATTACCCGTATATGTGTGTGCTGGGTGGGTGGGTGTGCACACGCTTGTGTGCATGTGTGAGTGTGTATGTGAAAATATTATAAATTATTTTTTATATCATCAAAATCTTTAAAATTTAAATATATCATAATATTTTTTGAAGTCACAAATAAATGATATAATTACTTCTATTTCAATCAGTCAAATTTATTATCACTCTTATTTTAATTACTAAAATTTAAAAAAAATTATTCATTGAAATTTAGAGTTACTCCTCTCTCGACCATTTGAGCATTAAGTTAAAATAAAAGCATATTATATTAACATTTTTTAATGTGGATTAGTTTTTACTTACATGGTATCCACGTGTCATCTATGTTATTTTTTTTAACTTTATCTTCTTCTTTTAAATGTGAAAATTTACTCTCAAACACCATTGCAACCCAATTTCTCTAGTCAACAAACTTCTACTTTTATCTAAAATATATATTATTTTAAATGAATTATATATCATTAATATAACAAATATTTATCCTAGAAGTGAAATAACACTTCAAATATAATTTCTATCAATTGAAATGAGTTACTCTATAATCATTTACCATGATATTTTTAAAATTTCCATCCTCACTCACTCTACGTCATTGAAGCATAATACAAAAAAAAATTATCTAAAAAGATTATAATTTATAAATTTGAAAATACTTATATTATTGATGTATCGACGTCAACGATTATTTTTTAACGTTAACTGAAGAAGATCTATTAGCATTGACTTTGAGGGGTAGAAAACGTTGGTGATTTAGATGTATCACATGCTTGTTTGATGGCAATTCTATTGCTAAGAAATTATAGGGGATATTTCCCTGAGAGTTTTGACGATGGCTTCTAGAATCCATTGTAAATAGCTAAATACATCGAAGATTCTAATTATTTTATTTTGCCTACATTAACGGTATTTTAATATCTTTTAATAGTCGATTTTATGCTAATATTTGTTTAAAAAATTCAGTTATTGACAATAATAATACGCACATATTTATAAATATATTATTTGAACACAAAATTTCTGATAAAATTAGGAAGGTGGCCATCTCGTACATGTTAAAGATCCCTGTCTTCTCATTAACCTATTAAATATTAGACTAAAATCTAATTCATTCTTTTATTTTCTTTTAATTACTGAGGAATGGCTATCAGCTAAGAACAACTAGTAATGGTCTGCATACCCCGACAATCCCGCTGAATTAAATCCATAAAAGAAGCCGGTGGAACTTGATAAACATGAAGGTCTCCAGAGTGATTCCATGCAAGCTTGACTAAACCATCGGCTACTCGATTTTGTTCCCGAGGAGCATGCGTAAAACTCACCTCCCAGTGTTGAGCCACCGATCGCTGATTAAATTTGGGTATATAAACACTGATTACTTTCTAATGCATTGATCGTTATTACATAAATGTATGGAATTAGGGTATATAAATCATATTTATGAACAATGATGATTAAATTTATATCGAATAATAATAAATGAAAATAGTAAATGAGAGCTTGACATGACCAAAAGTGAAAAAGTAGTTAATTACTCTAAATAATATAAACACTAGAAGACTGCAGCTTAAAAGGGTTTCACTGTAAGAAAATTCAAAGTCAAATATCAAGAAAATGGAAGTAACTTTAGAGTGCTGTGGTGGTCTCAAGCATCTACTAACTATTTCTGAAAAATACTAATCAATCAAATAAAGAACGAGTGGGTACATGTTGAGACTTATTCAAAAATCACAAATATTTTATATTTAGGGGGTTAAAGTCACATTTATTTATTATTAATGCTTTGAAAAATAATAGAAAAAATAATGGATTAGAAATTAATTAAATCTTTTAACAAAACAAATTTAATTACCATTTATAATCATGAGTTATATCTTTGATTTAAAGATTTGAAAAAAATCTTAATCTAAACACTATAACATTATAAAAATTAGTTTCAATGATTAATCAAAATAATTAATTTATAAGTTAATAAATGTCGATTTTAAATAATATGTCTGATTAATTAGAAAAAAAAAAATATTAAATCATCACTTTATGTTAACTTTAGATTTTTAAAGATTATAAAGTATTTCTCTTGCATTTTTCTATTTTTAATGATATATTTTCAAACATACTATATTCATATATCCACAAATTAGAGAACGCAATATCTCTCTCTCTAGAAGTCGCAGTTTTGCCCCTATGCAGGAAGAGTCTTCGCCATCACCGAGGTGACCCAGGCGGTGGAAGAAGGAGGAAAGTGGAACGAAAGTTCAAAAGAATCTGAACAATGGAAGGGGAGAACGCCCCTGAAGAAGAAATTCAAAGAAAATCATGGAAGGATACCGTATTAAGCCCCTCTCTTTTACCGGGTAATCTTCGATTCCTGATCGAAGTTGAAGAGGAAGATTCGGATGAGGAGGAAGATTGTGAAGGGAACGATATACCGACAATCAAGATTCCCCAAGAATTAAAAGAAAAAATGAGAAAACCTTGGAGAAAAACGCTCATTATCAAGATTTTGGGTAGAACGGTAGCTTACAAAACCCTTATCAACAGGGTGACAAATCTATGGAAATTAGAGGGTGAGTTCGAGTGTATTGATCTTAGCTATGGGTTTTATGCAATCAAATTCCAGAACATGGTGGATAGAGCAAAGGTTTTAATGGAAGGCCCTTGGAAGATAATGGATCACTACATCACGGTTCAAAGATGGCGCCCTAATTTCGTAGTAGCAAGTGCAAGTATTCCCTCCACGGCAGTTTGGATACATATCCCTGGACTTCCAATTGAATATTTTAAAGAAAGTGTTTTATGTAATTTAGGAAGATTAGTTGGTAAACCCCTGAAAATCGATTATCATATTGCTTGGTCAACAAGAGGACGTTTCGCTAGAATATGTGTTGAAATTGATCTCAATACTCCCCTGTTGTCGAAAGTGCATATAGGGAATAGAGTTTACAATATTGAATATGAGGATTGCATTCAATTTGTTTCAAGTGTGGTGTAGTAGGGTCATAGAGCCACAGACTGTCTTGTTAATCAGATGGAGAACCCCAGTACTAAGGAAACGAAAAAAGAAACAAAAAACCAAGATCAACAAGATTTGTAAGAAGAAGAAGACAACGAGAATATTCAACATGAAGAGAAGGAGGTAGCCTAGGAAAGATATGGTCCTTGGATGTTGGTTCAAAGGAGACAACGCGAATCTAGATTAAATCAGAGGAATCAAAGAATCAGGAATCAAGAATTACACCATGATAACAAGTTTGAAAGATTGAACACTATTGATGAGGAAGAACCCAACATAATAAAAAGATATAAACCGACCTCAAGATATAAAAGAGAAGACTAGTGAGATTGGAACATTCATAAAGGAGAAGATTTTTACCAGTCAAGAAGAAAATAGCAAAAAGATAAAAGGCAACGATTTGGTAGGGAGCTCAGGAGAAAGGAAATCTAAGATAAAACAAGATAATCCCCAATCTCCTATATTGAATATCAAAAGAGATGAACAAGGTAGAACACAAAGGAATATTCAGAGTAGGGAGAGTAATCGAAGTACTGTATTGGAATCAAATATGACAGTGTGAAAGTTGACGAGAGAACAATATAAAATCCCAATGGACGTTGAAGATGATAAAAATCAGCAAGTTAGTCAAGACGCTCTGGATATGGAAGCCGAACCAGTTGGCCAGGAACAATCTATAAGGAGTAACGAAAATATAGCCATAGAGGCACACACAAACAATAATCTGTCATTATGAAACTAGTCGCTTGGAACTGTCGAGGTGTAGGTGATAATGTTTTCATCAGAAATTGTAGAGAATTGATTCAGGAGGAAAACCCAACCATTATTTGTCTTCTAGAAACCAAAGCTAAGGCTGGTACTGGTTATTCGCTCCAGAAGAAATTGAGATTTAATGCTCACTTTGAGGTCCCTGTTGAAGGCCTTCGAGGAGGTTTAATTATTCTTTGGAGAAATAATACACATATGAGGTTAAAATTCAACATTATACAGATCAGGTTATTCATTATGATATTCAAGAGAATGGTAAAAGATGGTTGATCTCCACAGCCTATGTTCAACCACATTCGACTAAGAAAGAGAAATTTTGGGAGGATATATACATTTACGCTAGAAATGTAGACCAACCTTGGATGATTGTGGGAGATTTTAACGATTTTGCCACGTTGAATGAGTGTGTAGGCAGTAACTCGGATTGTATAGATCGGATTCTTAAATTTTGAGAGAATTGGAATATATGTAATCTGATGGATGCGGGATATGTTGGCAGCATATTTACCTGGACAAGACAACATCAAGGGAGAGTTATTCTACAGGAAAGACTCGACAGATTGCTCTATAACATTGACATGGTGGACTTCTTCCCAAACCTCAGAGTTGTTACCCTCACCAGAATCTATTCCGACCATAACCCGATACTAGTAAACACTGATTTGGAGATTCCTATGGATAAAGATAAACATCCTTTTAGATTTGAAGCCGCATGGCTTACTCATGAAGAATTCAAGATGGTATTTAATTCAGCTTGGGACAGAAAGAAACATTCACTTGTTGATGAGATAGAAGAAGTAAAACATGCGATCATAAGTTGGAAAGACTCTAATTTCGGGAACATATTTAAACGTAAGAAAACATTGACCAATCGATTACAAGGCATCCAAAGATCCCCTCATTACTTCCATTCAAATTTCCTGCAAGACTTGGAAAAGGTACTGGACTATGAGTATCAACAAGTCTTGACGCAGGAAGAAATCTTTTGGTTCCAAAAATCTAGAATGGATTGGATTTTAAAAGGGAAAAGAACATGAAGTTTTTCATCTTACTACTATGTTAAGGCGTAATATAATAAAATTATTGGCCTTTATATTAGAAACAATTGGATAACGGATAAACAAACTCTGTGCCTCCATGTGTGTGAGTACTACAAAGAATTGTTCGTTGAAAAAGATTATGTACAGCTTCCTATGAATTATGACAGGTTCATACCCATATTGAATGAAGAAGATAAATTAAATCTTAATAAACAAGTCACAATGGAAGAGGTAAAAGAAGCACTATTCACTATGAAAGGAATGAAAGCGCCAGGACCAGATGACATCCGGCCTATCTTTTATAATCAAAATTGGGATACTGTCAAGAATACTCTTTGTGATTTTGCTAATATGGCGTTGGAATTGGGGAAGATGGATACTAAGATCTTAAGAACTTTCTTGGTTCTTATACCAAAGCATGCCACAGCTGACAACATCACTCAATTTTTCCCAATTAGTTTACTGAATACGGCTTATAAAATATTTTCCAAGATTATTGTTCATCGATTGTGTCCTCTCTTACAAAGGTTGATTGGTGGTCTTACCAGAATAGCTTTCTTAAAGGAAGAAGCACCTCAGATAATATTCTGGTTGTGCAGGAGGCGGTCGACTCCATGATGAATCAAAAAGGATGTAAGGGTGCAATTATAGCTAAAATTGATCTTCAAAAAGCCTATGATAATGTAAATTGGGAATTCCTTAAGAAGACTCTTCAAGACTTCAATTTTCCTAGAAAATTGATAAAAATCATTATGTTCTGCATTAAGTCGAGTGCTATCGAGCCACTGTGGAACGGGGAAATAACCGAGTGTGTGATTCCCAAACAAGGCTTACGTCAAGGTGATCCGTTATCGCCATACTTATTTATCATGGTTATGGAAAGACTTTCCCACATGATCTTAGAGAAAGAAGAAAGAGACATATGGAAACCTTTCAAAAGCTCAAGAGGGGGAATCAAACTTAGTCACTTATTTTTCGCTGATGACTTACTTTTGTTTACAGAAGCCAACCCGGAACAAATGCAACACATGAGGAACTGCCTATATGAGTTTAGCCAAGCAACTGGAGTAAATGTTAACCTTTTAAAATCAAAAATTTTTGTCTCCCTAATATAAATCCAAATGTGGCTCAACAATTAAGCGATTTATGTGGTATCCCCCTTACGGATAACTTAAGAACCTATTTGGGAGTTCCAATAATCCATAAAAGGATTAATTCAGAAACATATGCTCCCTTAATTGACAAAGTCACGAGGAAATTAGCAGGTTGGAAAGGACGGGTTTTATCTATGGCAGGAAGAAGAAAACTCATTCAAACTGTTTCAACCGCTATCCCAATACACATGATGCAAACAACCATGCTCCCAAACTCTGTTTGTCAGAAACTGGATAGACTTAATAGCAACTTCTAGTGGGGAGGAGACTCAGTCTACGCTCATAATCACCTGGTCAGCTGGAATAAAGTTTGCAACTCAAAAAAATTGGGAGGATTAGGAATACGCAAAGCTAGATCCATGAACTTGACTCTAATGGCGAAGAATAGTTAGAACTCCTCATCAAGCAAGATAATATTTGGTGTAAGATGTTTACAGGAAAATATCTAAAGCAAAATGAATTCCTAGAGGCTGAAACAAGAGGGAACAACTCATCAACTTGGAGGGGCTTGTTGAGGACTAGAAATTTGATTAAAAAAGGATGTAAATGGGAAATTAAATCGGGAGCTCAAACTAGATTATGGAAAGACTGGTGGGTAGGTAAAGAACCTTTAAAAAAATCTATATCCTTTAATGGATAATCCGAGCAGAAATGAAAAGGTAGCAAGTTCATTGATGAAAACAGATCGTGGAACATCTGTGAAATGCAACATTTGATCTCTGAAGAAACAAGGGAGGAAATTAAAAGAGTTTCGATTCCTATTTTGGAAGACATCCAGGAACATGACAAAATTTCATGAGGTTTCGCCAAGGATGGGAAATTTACAGTAAACTCAACATACCAAGCTATTACTAACATGGAGATTGAGGTTCAACAGGGGGAAAATCTTAAGTGGATTTGAAGTACTAAGACTAGCGAGAAAATTCGATTTTTCGTTTGGTTATCTTACTTGGATAAACTGAATACAAATGAAGTTAGAGTCAAGAAGAACATGACTCAAGACATAAACTGCAAAATTTGTAGAAACGAAGTTGAGTCGATAAATCACATTCTCGATCATGTCCCACAGTAAGAATCGTTTGGGAAGATCTGAAAGTGTGGGATCATGATAGATAATTCGGCTTAATGGATTTCAAAAGTTGGTTAAAATGAATAGTCTTTCAAAGAAACCCGAAATAGAGGATTTAGAATGGGGTCTCTTATTTTGGTTACTATTTGGGGTCTTGGAAGAGCAGAAACGATAGAATATTCAATGACACGAGAAAGATCCGTTTGAAGTAGTTAAGCAAGCTAACAGTTTGCTAGAGATATAGAGAAAGCCTGGACAACCCCCAAAGAAAGATGATAAATGATTCGTATTGGGTTAATTGGAGAAAACCGCCTGAGGGATGATGGATTTTAAATACTGATGGTGTTTACTGTTGAGTTAATCGATTGACGGAATTGGCCAAGAGGGGGGAATTGGCAATTAAAAATTTGGTGGAAGCTTTTGCAGAAAATTGAAAGTAATTGCACATCGATTTAGAGTGGTTCGACTTTCTCAATCAAAGTCTACGTCCACTACCTTAGCTATCCACACTAAGGATTTCCAACAAATTCACTAATTTGTTCTTTCTTTTGAGGCCAAAGAGATAACCTTACAACACCCTCAAGAATATACCTCAATTCTTGAGAACACTATTTCCCAAAGAGAAGATTACAAATTTGCAAACTTTCAAGGAAAACCTCTCAAGGTAAGATGTTTGCACAATTCTAGAACAAGAAAAGAACACTCACAAATAATTAGAAATGAGCACAAATGGTGTTCTTTGAAAGCAAAATGAATATTGAAAGGAAAATTGGCTTGATTTGCACAAACTTGGTGTTTGATGCTTTCTCTCTTGTTTCTCTATAATTTCTTGTTGATCAAGGGCTTCAGAACTTGTTTAAATACACCTTGAATCACTTCTAAACGTTGGGGATGATTAGTGAAGATCATATAGCCGTTTTAGTGTGAAAACAATTAATAAAACAGCTT